GGCAAGCCCGGCTTTGCAGGCCTTCTGGGCCGCAGTGACACGCATATTTACTTGTTTATCTTATTATTCATTTTTATCCATTTTAGACTATGCCTATAAATAGGCATTGGCTTTATTTTTAATGTAATTAATTATTTTCCTCCCAAGATATTACAGCAATGAGAACAACAATTCATGTAACCTTTACTTTATTTCTATGATCTAGTTTATTATAAAGGTTTTTCCATCTTCACCAATTTTGGTTTTTAATTTTGGCAAACTATTTTAAGTTTTAGTCAAACATGGGGTGTATTGAAATAAATTTTAATGTATATATATATAAAGGCTAGATCTAATCAAATAACAGTTAATGCATAAAAACATCAAAAGAGAAAAGGAAAACATATACAAAAGATATATTGATAATGAAACATCCTCTTGAGGATTTATTCAATGCTCCAAATAACAGATGTAAAGTATGAAATCTTTGAATTCTCGACTATTTAATTAAGGATTTAAGAAACATATGACAAAATCATTTGCCCAAGAAAGAGAGAACATAATTTTGAATTATAGTCCGACCTTGAGTATATAAAAACCTTAGATCCAGTTGAATCGTAGCCTAAAATTCAATGAATAACAATCTCAACAATCAATCAAATGTGTAACAAAAATGCATATAAGAATAGATTGAAAAAGAAACATAACATTTCACTACAAAAAAAATAGTATATTTGTAACGGAATTCCGTCTTTAAAGTTCACGTAGCTAACATAATTTCATCCTTAATTTTGTCTTTAATGTCATTAGTAATGGAAAACGTGGATTTAGAGACAAAAAAACCTCGTTACAAAAGTGATATTTTCATGTAGTGTTTGTATAGATTCTACTCTCCAATTGAATCATACCTAAAAACTAAACAAATAACAATATAAACAATGCAATGAATTCTCGCTATCTCAGTTCTCTAAATTAATTTTAAGGTTTTATCCAACCTCAAGTATATTGAAAAATAAGCTTGATTACATCAAAAACTTAGATCTAGTCGAATTGCAGGGAGGAATTGAATTAATAAAAATACCAACAATGTACAAAGCAAAAAGGAAAATGCATGTAAAAGAATAGATTGACAAAGAAACATAACATTGTGTTTAGAAGCCACTATGCAAATAATGGATCTAAAATGATCTAAAACATAAAATCTTTAAATTATCGACTACTTAATTCTCCGGAATTAGTTTTGAGTTTTTTTCCAACCTCAAATATATTGAAAAAATCTCGAGTGCATCGAAAAGTGAGATGTAGCTAAGTTGTACCTTAAAAGTAAATGAATGGAAATATCAACAATGAATCAAATCTAGACTAGTCAATTCTCCAAATTAATTTTTACTTTTTGTCCGACCTCAAGTATATAAAAAAATCTTGAGTATATCAAAAAAAGAGATCCGGTCGAATAGTAGCTAAAAGTTGAATGAATTACCATACCATTAGTATATCAAAGGAGAAATGAAAATGCATGAATAAGAATATATTGAAAAAGCAACATAACGTTGTGTTTAGATGACACTCTACGAATAATGGATCACAAAGGCATAATCTCCAAATTCTCTACAATTTAATTTTCCGAAATAATTTTGAGTTTTGTCCAACTTTGAGTATATTGAACAATTCTCGAGTGAATAAAAAATTTAGATCCATTTGAATCATACCAAAAAACTAAACGAATAGTAATATAAACAACTTATAGAGTTCTCAATTACGCAATTCTCCAAATTAATTTGGAGTTTTAGTCCAACCTCAAGTATATCGATAAAAATCTTGAGTATATCAAAAACTTAGATCCGGTTGAGTCGTGGCTAAAAATTGAATGAATAACAATACCAACAATGTATCGAAGTAGAAATATAAATGCATGTATAAGAATGAATTGTAAAAGAAACAAAACCTTTTTTAAAATTCCACTTTTTCTAAAATATGAATTCTCTAATTTCTAGACTACTTAATTATCTGAAATTATTGTTGATTTTTAACCAACCTTGAGTATATTGAAAATATCTTTACTACATCAAAAAATTATATCCAATTGAATCACACTTAAAGACTAAATGAATAGCAGTATCAACAATGCATTGAATTCTCGAAATCTCAATTCTTCGAAGTAATGTTAAGGCTTTGTCCAACCTTGAGTATATGGAAATAAATCTTGATTACATCAAAAACTTAGATCTAGTCGAATCGTAGCAAAGAATTGAATGAATAACAATACCAAGAATGTACAAACCAAAAAGGAAAATGCATGTATAAGAATAGATTGAAAAAAAACATAAACTTGTGTTTATATGCCACTATGCAAATAATGGATCTAAAACGATCTAAAACATAAAATCTTTAAATTCTTGACTACTTAATTCTCCAGAATTATTTTAGTTTTATCCAACCTCAAGTATATTGAAAAAATCTCGGGTTTATCGAAAAGTGTGATGCAATTAAGTCGTACCTAAAAACTAAATGAATGGAAATATCAACAATGAATCGAATCTGGACTAGTCAATTCTCCAAATTAATTTTTACTTTTTGTCCGACCTCAAGTATATAAAAAAATCTTGAGTATATCAAAAAAAGAGATCCGGTCGAATAGTAGCTAAAAGTTGAATGAATTACCATACCATTAGTATATCAAAGGAGAAATGAAAATGCATGAATAAGAATATATTGAAAAAGCAACATAACGTTGTGTTTAGATGACACTCTACGAATAATGGATCACAAAGGCATAATCTCCAAATTCTCTACAACTTACTTTTCCGAAATAATTTTGAGTTTTGTCCAACTTTGAGTATATTGAACAATTCTCGAGTGAATAAAAAATTTAGATCCATTTGAATCATACCAAAAAACTAAACGAATAGTAATATAAACAACTTATAGAGTTCTCAATTACGCAATTCTCCAAATTAATTTGGAGTTTTAGTCCAACCTCAAGTATATCGATAAAAATCTTGAGTATATCAAAAACTTAGATCCGGTTGAGTCGTGGCTAAAAATTGAATGAATAACAATACCAACAATGTATCGAAGTAGAAATATAAATGCATGTATAAGAATAAATTGTAAAAGAAACAAAACCTTTTTTAAAATTCCACTTTATCTAAAATATGAATTCTCTAATTTCTAGACTACTTAATTATCTGAAATTATTGTTGATTTTTAACCAACCTTGAGTATATTGAAAATATCTTTACTACATCAAAAAATTATATCCAATTGAATCATACTTAAAGACTAAATGAATAGCAGTATCAACAATGCATTGAATTCTCGAAATCTCAATTCTTCGAATTAATGTTAAGGCTTTGTCCAACCTTGAGTATATGGAAATAAATCTTGATTACATCAAAAACTTAGATCTAGTCGAATCGTAGCAAAGAATTGAATGAATAACAATACCAAGAATGTACAAACCAAAAAGGAAAATGCATGTATAAGAATAGATAGAAAAAGAAACATAAACTTGTGTTTATATGCCACTATGCAAATAATGGATCTAAAACGATCTAAAACATAAAATCTTTAAATTCTTGACTACTTAATTCTCCAGAATTATTTTAGTTTTATCCAACCTCAAGTATATTGAAAAAATCTCGGGTTTATCGAAAAGTGTGATGCAATTAAGTCGTACCTAAAAACTAAATGAATGGAAATATCAACAATGAATCGAATCTGGACTAGTCAATTCTCCAAATTAATTTTTAGCTTTTGCCAAACCTCAAGTATATATATATATATATAAAGAATCTTGAGTATATCAAAAACATAAATCCGGTCGAATAGTAGCTAAAAGTTGAATGAATAACAATACCATTAGTATATCAGAGGAGAAATGGAAATGCATGAATAAGAATAGATTGAAAAAGCAACATAACCTTAAGTTTAGATGCGACTCTGTGAATAATGAATCACAAATGCGTAATCTCTTAATTCTCGACTTCTTAATTCTCCGAAATAATTTTGAGTTTTGTCCAACTTTGAGTATATTGAACAATTCTCGAGTGTACCGAAAAATTAGATCCAGTGGAATCGTACCAAAAAACTAAATGAATAGTAATATCAACAGTGTATCGAGTCCTCAATTACGCACTTCTCCAAATTAGTTTGGAGCTTTTGTCCAACCTCAAGTATATCGAAAAAAATCTTGAGTATATCAAAAACTAGATCCGGTTGAATTGTAGCTAAAAAATTTTAAATTCCACTCTCCAAATAATGGATCTAAAATGTGAAATCTCCAATTTTTTTACTACTTAATTTTCCGAAATAATTTTTGATTTTTGTCCAACCTTGAGTATGTTGAAAATATATTGACCTCATAAAAAACTTAAATCTAACTGAATCATACCTAAAAACTAAATGAATAGCAATAACAATGCTTTTAATTCTCGTTATCTCATCCTCCGAATTAATTTTGAGGTTTTATCCAACCTCGAGTATATCGAAAAAATCTTGATTACATCAAAGACTTAGATCTAGTCAAATAGTATTGAAGAACTGAATGGATAAACAATACCGACAATGTACAAGGAAAAAAGGAAAATGCATATATAAGAATAGATTGAAAAAGAAACATAAAATTGTGTTTAGAAGCCACTAAGCAAATAATGGATTGAAAACAATCCAAAACATAAAATTTTGAAATTCTCAACTTCTCCGGAATAAGTTTTGAGTTTTTTCCAACCTCAAGTATATTGAAAAAATCACGAGTGTATCGAAATGTGAGATGCAGTTGAGTAGTACCTAAAAAGTTAATGAATGGCAATATCAATAACCAATCGAATCTAGACTAGTCAATTCTCCAAACTAATTTTTAGTTTATGTCCAACCTCGAGTATATAAAAAAATCTTGAGTATATCAAAAACATAGATCCAATCGAATAGTAGCTAAAAGTTGAATGAATAAAAATACCATTAGTATATCAAACGAGAAATGAAAACGCATGAATAAGAATAGATTGAAAAAGCAACATAACCTTGTGTTTAGATCCCACTCTACGAATAATGGATCACAAATGCATAATCTCCAAATTCTCGACTCCTTAATTCTCTGAAATAATTTTTGACTTTTGTCAACTTTGAGTATATTGAACAATTCTCGAGTGTATCAAAAATTTAGATCCAGTTGAATCGTACCTAAAAACTAAATCGAAAACAAGATTAAAGAAACTAAATGGAACTTTTATTAGAATTGAAAAAGCCCAAGAATACAGTAGTAACACAAAAGCACAAACTATTGAAGCTCAGATTTTACAAGGTATACTCTTATAGATGAATAGCAACCAAAAATAGCTGCGCAACGTTCAACGGCTAACGGACACCCACCAAAAACCTAGTCTACAACCCCAAATCAAGAAACCCTAACACTCTATTGGAAAAAATTTTGATTTAAGGAGAATTGAACCGTAGAAATCCTCACCAAACACTCCCCTAGGCACAGGAAAGAATCACCTTACCATTCTATGGTAAATCGGCCGCAAAGAACCAACTTCGAACACAAGGCAACTGGAGAAGAGAGATTTGCTAGAGGGAGATGAAATTTTGGAGAGAGAGATTTCAGCAGTGACACATCTACACTTATCTATAATGAGGGACAACACAATATATATAACTCAAGATGGACGGCTCAGATGTGATCCCTAAAATGAATGGCTGGGATTCACTCCTGAGGAAACAGGGGTCAGCCACATTTGGTTGGGCCATCTGAACTGGGTCGAAGATGCAAGTCGCGCACCAATCAAACACTGGAGTGGGTCAGAAAGGCGGGAGGACAATTCGACCAAAATAAATCCCAACAATAATCTTAGTCATGAAAATTAAGTATTATTAATTTACCTAAATCACAACTATGAAAAGTCACAAAATCAAATTAACAATAAATAAGTAAACGGTGACACCCCGGCCCGCAAGCTACACGAAGCCGAGCATGTCGAGATCGTAGACTGGCCCCACAGGTCAACACGAGTCCTTCCAATGCGCTTAACTCTAGAGTTCTTTCGGTAAAGCTTCCAAAAAGGAATGCGCACATTATTGACATGAGTAGACTATTCAGTTCATCTAACTTATATTCAACTTTGGATGGCCTAGCACCGGCTTATCCATGGAAGTTGGCCTAGCACTGGCACAACTCCAGGGTATTACATATACAATGCAGGAAATATAAGAGGCACTTTCTTTTGTATCTATTTTTATGCTATGCAACATTTAGTATACATATATTTATGTTAAAAACGTCAAACTCAACATCTCCATTGTCTTTTAACATAACATTTAAAAATTTATTTTTCATAAGGATCATTATATTTGTTAATGATATAAAAAGAATTAATTATTGATAGGTGAACCATATTAAGGTGTGTCTTAAAATTTGCTGTGAAGTTCTAAATTTTATATTTTGAGATGAAAATAGTTAGTGTATTTATATTTTGAATGAAAAATAGAGATTATATACGATATATATTCCTTTTAATAAAAGTACATTGAAAAGTGTGAAAATAAGTTTTAGAAAAATAAGTAAACAAACACTTAATAATCCATTATTTTTAAATTTACCCATTTTGGATTTTTTCAACATTCTTGGCCCAACCCAATTCAATTGGTAGTACCGACCTTGAACATTAATAATAAAATTTCTATATAATTATCTACGGGGAGTGAACTTGCACATTTCTCAAATCTTGAATAGAGTAACTGAGAGTTCGAAGCTTGAAATTCTACCTGTAAGTATTTGGAGAGTCGCATTCAAACTCAAGGTGATGTCTCTTTTTCAATATATTATCATATTCTTCATTTTCTCTTTTGATAGATTGTTGATGCAATTCATTTGGTTTTAACTAAAGTGCGAGTGAACCTACTTTTTCAGTGCACTTGAGGTTCGATTGTCTGACACGCTCTAGGTTTGAGAAAAAGCTCAAACCTCTTCGCTTATCATTATCCCATAGAAAATTTAGTCATATGTTTGTCATAATCTGAAATAACCTTATAGGAATATTATTTTGTTTAATTATATAAATTAAACCACACACATGTCCTAAATCTAGATTTTACATTCTACATCTATTATTTGGAGAGCCGAATCTAAACTTAAGGTGATGTTTGTTTTTGACTGTATCCTCATATTCCTTCTCTCTTTCAATTTTGATAAATTATTGATGTTGTTACTCATTTAGATTTAACTACAATTAGATTGAATTTCCATTTTTGAAACACTTGCGATTCTTTCGATACACTCGAGGTTCTTCCGATACACTCGAGGTTTGACAAAAACTTGAAATTACTTATCTCCTTCTCGATCATATGATATTGTGGATTTCCAATAAAAATTTATAACAAAGTGATATAATATTTTTTTTCTCCTCTCTTGAATTGAGTACTAAAAAATTCGGAGATCTGACATTTTAAATCCATTATTTGGCGAGTGGCATCTAAAGTCATGGTGATTTTATTTTTTTTATCAATCTATTCTTATATGCACTCTCTTATTCCTTTGATGCATTTTGATACTGTTGTTCATTCATTTTTTTGAAGCTACACTTCAACTAGATGTAGGTTTTCGATACACTTGAAGTTTTATTGATACACTCGATCTTCATAGAAAAATCAAAATTATTTCTATCTTCTTATTTATACACTCAAAGTTTTATCAATGTATTTGAGGTTCAACAAAAACTCAGAATCATTTATCTCTTTCTTAGCCAAATGATGTTACCATATATTGGTCATATTTTAAATAAAGCTAAATACTATCATTCGTTCCTTTATAAATTTGAGTAGTTAAATCTAAACTCAATTTATTTATATTTTATTTTCTATCTATTATCATAGTTGTTATGTTTTCTTTTTCCGGCACATTGTCAGATGTGAACATTTCTCAAATCTATAATTGAGTGGTCATGTGAATTCAAAGTTGTCATACTTTATATTTGCTCAATTTTTCTTCTTTGAGGTGAAAAATTAAATTTGGATCTAATTTTTGCATAAAAAATGGAGACTAAATAAGATATACATATATATATATATGATACATTGAAATGTGTGAAAATGACTTTAAAAATATAAGTAAACAAATTAACACTAAAAAAAATAATATATTTGTAACGGAATTCCATTCGTACAGTTCACATAGCTAACGTAAATCTATTACTAATTTCGTCTCTAATATCATTAGTAATAGAAAAAATACATTTAGGAACTAAAAACTCCTGTTACCAAATTGATATTTTCTTGTAGTGTAATAATACACTGATTTTAAAATTTTAGCCATTTTGAATTTATTCAATGTTCTTAAGAAAGACTCCACTCAATTAATAGTACCATCTTGAATCCGATAAAAAAAAAATAGTACTATCTTGAAAAAAATAGTAGCGATATTGAAATCATATGGTAATAATGAAATTTTTACAATGAATTACATTATTTCTCTCTTTCTTTTTCATGTAAATTAGTGATACGCTAATCATACTTATTTTTACCTTCTATATGAATTGAATCTTGCACGTTTCTTAAATATAGAATTGAGTAGTTGAGAATTTGGAGATTTGACATTCTACATATTGTAGTAGTACCTGGAGAGTTGTATAATGTTTCTTTTTCAATCTATTATGATGTTATCCATTCTCCTCCTTCTATAGATTGTTGATATGCTATTATTCATTTATTTTTAATTAAACTTCGATTGGATATACTTTTTTTTGATACACTAGAGGTTATGTTCAATTGACATGGTCTAGGTTCAACAAAAAACTCAAAAATTTTCTCTCATTCTTGACTAGACAATTTATTCTTATGTTAGTCCTAATTTAAGATAAAATGATAACAAATTATTCTGCTCCTTTATATAAAGAAGACATACATGTTTTAAATCTAGAATTTAGAAGTCAAGTATTAAGAGATTTCGGATTCTACATCTATTATTTGGAGAGCCGAACATAAACTCAAGGTGACCTTTCCATTTTACTCTATTAACATATATATTCCCTTCATTTTTCATTCTTGGTACAATGTTGATGTTGTTACTCATTGAGTTTTAGCTGCAATAAGATTTTGTCATTGAAATATTCGAGGTTCTTTCTATAACCTCGAGGTTTTACTTAAAACCATTATCTCATTTTTAGTACGATGATATTGTGGAATTCCATTAATGAATTATAACAAAGTGATATCATTTTTCTTTTATAGAATTGAGGAGTAAAAAAATAGGAGTTTTAGCATTTTACATCCATTATTTGGAGAGTCGCATCTAAAAACAAGGTTATGTTTCTTTTTCAATCGATTCTTATATATGTGTTTTCATTTCTTCTTTGATACATTCTTGGCATTTTTATTCATTCACTTTTTAGCTACAAGTCAACTCAATCTATATTTTTGATATATTCAAGATTTTTTTCGATATACTCGAGGTTGGACAAAAACTCAAATTTATTTCAGAGAATTGAGTAGTAAAAAATTCAATACATTATTGATATTGCTACTCATTTAGTTTTTAGCTATGATTCTACTAGTTTTATGTTTTTTATATACTTGAGATTTTTTCAATATACTCAAGGTTGGACAAAACAAAATGATCTCAGAAAATAAAGTAGTCGAAAATAAATTCATTTTAGGTCCATTATTTGGATAGTGGTATCTAAACAAAAGGTGATTTTTCTTTTTCAATCTATTCTTATATGAACTCTTACTACTCCTTTTATTCATTGTTGATATTGTTATGCATTCAGTTTTAAGGGATAAGTTTTTTTGACATACTCTAGATTATTTCGGTACGCTAGAAACACAACAAAAATCTAAAATCATTTCTCTCATTCTCTATCAGATTCTTTTGTTCTATGTTGGTCATAATTTAATTTCAAACTATAAAAATAGTTTTTTGCTGTCTCTTAAATCCATAATTTAGTCGTCGAGAATTCGAAGATTTCATATTTTACATCTATTATCTGGAGGTTGATTGGAAACTCAAGATGACAATTCATTTTCAAGATATTTTTATATATGTTCTCCTTTTCTCTTTTGATGTTGTTCTTCATATACTTTTTATTCAATTAGATCTAGTTTTTTTGCATACATTTAAGCTTCTCTTGATACACCCCAAGTTTGAATAAAACTGTAAATATTTTTCCAAAATTAAAAAATAAAATAAAATTTGGTGAAGATGGGAAATCCTTTATGATAAATGAGATCGTAAAATAAAGTAAAGATTACATGAATTGTTGTTCTCATTATCTATAAATATAACATTTTTTAAATTTATTCCATGTATGCAATTTTCTTAGAAGCAATTTTGAAAACTGAAGAAGACAAGGATTCATGGTCCTTTGTCAAATTTTTACAAAACTGTAAGTGTGTTTGTTGGTGGGTTTTAGTTTTGGGGTTTTGGATTTTTCAATAGTAAAAAGTTGAATTTGAATAGTTGTTTTATGTGATTTAAATAGAGATTGATGTGATGTTTTGTAAATAATATAAAAGAAGAAAAGAAATTATTTGATGTGATATTTTTTTAGGGGAAAAAAATTTTTCAGTAAAAATTATGTGGTAAAACCCACAAAAGAACACAATAAATATTTATTTTGTTTG